TCCAACAGACAGTCTGAGTGTTCCATGATCACAGAGCCAGACCAAGTAGGAGGCTGAGTTGCATGGCCTGGCACCCACTTTTGGGGTGCTACTTTTACCATCTTATCCCTGTATCCCCTGGTGGTGTTCACTCTTTGCTAGGTCACCTGGGTCACTCTCATAGTGGGTCACACTGGTGCAATCTTTGACTTCCCCATGATGAATGTTACAAAGCAACAAGGTTTTGATCTCAAAAAATACATGCAGCCAACATGTGCCAGCACAGTCTGAACACAGACCATGGTGATGGTGTCTTAGGATCCAGCACATGAATTTGTCACTGGCATCCTGCACCTGGCCTTCATATCAATCAAATCAATGTGAACTTGGTGACTGCCTTTGCCTACACCATTAGCCTAGTGCCTATAGTTTCCACAGTACTGCAATGCACATTGATTGATTACCAAACCTCTTGGATCTGGGAAGTGGGCATGGCACTGCCTCTGCACATGGCTCAGAGATGGAAACCTCCTGATTGACTCACAACCTTAGCCATGTTGGGCAACTGCCTGATCACACCACATGCAAGAATGGACTAGGCACTGGAATGCAACCTTCATTGAGATGGGAGAATGCCAGCAAAGGCTATTCTCTTCAAAGGACTTTGTACCTAGCTGTCCAAAGGAAATTTGTTCACCACACCTCCAACCTCAGTGACTTCCAGTGAATATGAGATCAACTCTTTGTCCAATGACACAGATCCCACCCCACAACAAAAGGGACCAGTCTTCAGCCAGCCAAAGTCAATATACTCGAGGCTGAGTTAGATTCATGGAAAAATGCCAACCAAGACAAGAGGAGTTCCATGTTGTTAACCATCAGAAACAGGACAAAAAACCTTGATGCTAATGTAACACTGAAAACCCATGAATGGGTTTGGAAGAAGGTGTGCCACAGCATCCTTTGATTACCCAACATGTCCTCACCATTGCCAGGTGATTCAGACTTGGTTGTACAACCACAGTTGGAGCTGTAGTCAATGGGCTTTGGTCAAATATGGTGGCAGTTGAACACTGAGGAAGGTGGTCATGCACCATCACAAGAAAGCCATCAAAAGAGTGTTGGAGGAAGCAGGGATCAAGCAGGGATCAGCAGAAATGATCAAGTCATATCAGAAGGCCATTGACACCATCATGAAGTCCCTGACTGCTGAGGAGATACAGGAGGCTGAGGATCTGGCCACAGAATGGACTGAGCAGCAGCCACCATGGGATGTTCAATCAGAGTAGGTGCCATTGCCATTTCTGACTGCTGCCTTTTTACTTACTGGGACTCAGAACTGCAGAAAAGAAAGGCCAACAATATGCTGAGGAGTTTGCTAAGGAAATGTGGAAGCAGTGTGAGGCAAGGGTGGTAGTGATGGTGGCATGGGAAGATGTCAATAGAGGTCATAGTTGGAGCATAAGGAATTTGTTCCTGGGTCATCTGAATACTGCCAGATACTGACCAACCTGTCTAGCCATGATTTCAATGATGAATTGGGTCATGGCAAGTTATTTCAGGGCTTGGAGGACTGCAGGGACAAATTTGTCAAGTATGCATGGACAGCATTTGGGAGTGGTGGCACAGATGATGACTCAGCAGACAATGATGCTGCTCCACAGCTGCAGCAGTGAAAGAAACTGGCAAAGGACAAAGTTAACCTGCCACTCAGCAAGGATGGTACACCATACATTCCCAACATATTGGACATGTGGGTGCCAAGGTTGAAAGATATCATGCAGACATTTGTCACATTGCACTACCATAGGTGTAACCACAGGAGGACTTCTGTTCATTGACATCCATAGCAGGGAAGGCATGCAGCAATTCAGAGGCAACTGTGCCATGGAGTGCAATAACAACCAACATGAACATTTACATTGCACCCAAGTTCCCTCCCCCAGACATTCCATTCAAAGAACCAACTTGACTAACACAGGATGAGTTGACAGCAATCTTGGAGTGGTGGCAGGAGCAGAAGATGCAGCATCCCAACAATATATTTGCATTCATGCCAGTTGGAGATGCCAATGTTGGTTGGGTGCCATTGGATGTGGAACAGGGTGCCAAAGACATCCCAGACCCAGCAGGGGGACAGAAAACAGCTGGCCAATTGACTGGGTTTGGGATGTGATCATGGCAACAAACTGGTAAGCAAGCAGTTGTACTAACTACATTATCAACACAATAATGTAATGGGTGTTACAGTGGTCAGCTCAAATACCAAAGGTGCCCCTCTGGCCAGTAGCTCCCAACCATCCCTGGTGCCCAATAGCAATAAGAGTACAAGGGCTTTGGCACTAGATGCTGATATGTCAGTTGAATTGCCAGCAAGACAACACCCAATTGCCATATTGGCAGCAGATGGAAATAACAGCTGCTGGGAGAGTGGTAAGCTGCCAGCCCTCACTTGATAGTCATGTTATACAACTTAACCCCATGTCTGCTGAAGGCCCCAGCTATGATTTCACCACCACACAGCAAATTCCATATGGTGTGCCAGTCAATGGTGGAAATTCTATGGGTGCTGGGGGGTCACAACAAGGTGGGTTTTCAATATCTGCAACTGTGTTGAATTGACAGGGGACATGTTTCAGACATTGCAGTGGAGAGCCCAAGTGCCAAGCCCCAAATGGCAGGCAGTGAAACAGTTGCCACAGCTCCTGTGGTGGAAGTGCTGGACCATGATTCAGCTGACACCCTCCATGCAGCACAAAATGAGCAGGTGCCAAAGAATAGTTGGAGGGTCCCTACACAGCTGAAGGCAAGATGGGAGTTGCTGATGAGGTCAACAGGCAATTAGCTCTTACAGCATCCCCAGCTATTGCCTAGTCCCTTGAAGAAATGCTGTTGACAATAGTAGCATACTTTACAATTTATGCAACAATTCACAGTAGGAATTACAATAAGTCCTCATCAATCTCCACTTCATCCTCACCATCCCAATCCTTTGTCATCAAATCTTCTATATATTGCTGTGTCTGCATGACCTGCTCTCCCCTTGCAAGCAAAAGCCAAAACCTTATGCTTGATTTGACCAAGATATTGCTGTAGTGATTGTATGTGGCAACAATAGGCCCATCAGTAGCAGTATTCAGCAGTGCTGGGTGTTCTGAGGCTGGTCCTGAGAGCAGAATTGCTAGCCACCTTGCCTTGGTCACTATTCAATTATTAACATATGTGAGAATGATATTGCAAAAACACATGTTGTTATCAGTCCTTCCTCATGAATACCTTGTATCCCCAAATCATCTGTGAACTGCTGAAGTGCTGCAAAGTGACCTAACAAAATTGAAAATGTGGTCACAATGAAAGGTGGAACACTCATGAGCAGCAGCATCTGTCTCCACTGACAGCCAAGCTCTGTGCCCCAATCCAGAGGCCATGGGGTTACTGTTGGCAGTCAGTTCTGCATCAGGTTCCTCATCCATGTTAGGATGATCCTTAGTGGGGGTTGAGTAGTTGTGTGTGGAGGGGATGCCACAAATGATACTGGCATTGGTGAGTGAGCTGTGTGTGCTGGCAAAGATGTTGGGGAATCCCAGCTGGGGGTGATGGCAGTTAAGGAGGGGATGGAATGAGCTGCTACAGGATCATCCCCTCTATGATTGGTACTGGGCTGTTGGGAAGAAGGTGATAATGGTGGGGAGTCCCACAAAGGTGCAACCACTCTTAGTGGCAGGCATTGGCATGGGCTGGCAAAAGCCTGTGATGAGGATGATGACAAGGCTAGCTGTTCAGGCCATGTGCCGGTGGCAGCTGCTGCTCCAAATGGCAGGTATTCAGGTTCATCTACTGCCATATGAACATCATCTACATTTGGCAGCCCCTGATGCTTCTTGCATGGCAAAATAATTAGGAACAGTTAGCCTTACATCCAACCAATTAATGACCACTTACTGCAGGTGTCCAGACTTCCTGGTCTCCACCTGACTGATTTTTGATCCATGATTGGGGTCACTGCTAATTCTGATGAGTGGATGAACTGTGTGGGATATTTGAGTGAATGCAATGTAGCAAAGCCTGCATGGATTATTTGGTCTTGTTTGGGTGCCAGCAATACTTGCAATGCTGGCACAATGGTTTAGCAACATAAAAAAAAGCAGCATGCACTGTTAACACCATTCTCCTTTAACACCTACTTTGCCCATCTAGCTTTTCATACTCCTCACTGACACAATGTCTGAACAAGCTCAATCTTCACAGGCCACCACCACCATTCCCCCCATCACCCTACCATGCAAAATTGTCACATATGCTGCTGACATTGTTTTGGAGGAGCTTTCTGGGCTAGAATCCAATAGAAACAGGCAGTACTGGCAAAAGGCAATGAATGTGATCTGGGAACAACTGGTATGTGCTATGCCAAATAATTTATCCATCCAACTCACACCAATGTAGGGCCATGTTCACCCATTGGTGGAAGAACTCCCCTCCAAATCTACCATTCCCACCCATCTCATTGCTGCAGCAAAGTGGATGAAAGATCTGGCCATGCTCACAGAATTGAAACAATGGCCAGACTTTGACCAAATTAGGGATGCAGGGGACACCAATGTTGTCAATCACCCATGGTATCAGGTGGGGCAGCCAATGGACAAGGGAAAGGGTCAAGAGGTCCCATCAGAGCCCATTCAGCTAAGTAGGCCAATCAGTGAGCCCACTGACACCTCTGAAGAGCCCTGTGGCAGAACAAGAAGCTGCCTTCCTCCCCCCACTGCTTGCCCAAAGAGTCAGTGGCCCAGGAAGCATGCAAAGCCTGCCACTGAAAGTGATGCTGATGAAGGTGCAGCATCTGTTTCTTGAGCTATTTGTGGTTGCTCTGTGGCCCATCTTGCCACTCCCACTGCCAACTACCCTGTTGTTGCCAAAGAAGACTGATGTGCTAGATGCAAAGAGAAGAACTTCCCATGTGTGGTGGAACTGGGGTCAGCATGCTGGCAATGCAGCTGTATGAAGTATCAGTGCAGCATCTTTGCAGAAGTCATGGCCACATGCTCCCAGTCAAGGCACCCCCCTCCCAGTCATCCCACCACCATCCCAGAAGCACCTTCTGAACCTCATCAAACACCAGCACCATTCCATCCCCAAAGCTGACACCATCCTTCCAGCCCTATTGTGGGGCCATCCATTGCCAAAGCCAGAGAACCTGCTGCAGCCCCCCAGCAGACAAGGAAACAGTGGGCACCCACTTGAAGCATGACTCCTGCAACTCCCAAGACAACCCCTGCAGCAACCACAAGCTCTTGCTGGCAAAGTATGTCTTTTATATGTCCCATTCCGATATTCTTATAAGATCCTAACATAGTTTTTGATGGAGTGGTCATTGTGACCCCATCATGGTGGCAGTCAGGTCAGCAGACATCAAGTCCTGTGTCATGAGGGCCAGCAACATCTACCAGCCATCCTGCTACCCCTGCCCACCTGGCAACACCCAATGCCACCCCTTTTGATTGCATGGAAGAGGAAATGGTGGCATTGCAGCAGCAGCAGCTAGACATGGCCCAGGATCTTCTCAATACCTGCCACAAGTTGGCCAATACACAGCAGATCCTTGCCAATACCCAGACAGAGTTGGAGACACTCTGTGATGTTGTTGAGGCCATGTGCCAGTGCCTTCTCCCATTGCAACATGCAGGACTTGATCCCTCCAGTGTCACACACCAAAGGTGTTGTGGACATGGTTACAGCTGACTCTGCCTAACTTGTCAATGAGTTGTGCACCATGCCATGCAGATGAAGACTAAAGCCCTCATGCATAGAAAGACTGCTGGACATGAGCAGTCATCAGTGCTAAAGAGAAAAGAGGAAGCAACTCAAGTGCCCATCAAAGCGTTTTAGCACTCAAGTATGGCATTCTGGTTTTCATCATATCTCCACCATTTCCAAAGATATCAACTCCATTCTCACACTTGCTTAAAGTGCTCAGCCATGTGATTCTGCCTTCCAAGTTTGGAAAGGATCCTTGCACCCTATGCATTTCTACAGCACTCCATCCATCAGACACTCATTTTGCTAAGTCAATCAGATATGACTGCCTCTTTGTTGATCATCTCATTTGTCTCTTTTGCCAGAGATAGTGGCTATGTATATCTGCCAGGTGTTCCCACCAGCTTCCATCCTGAAGCCCCCTGGTTCATTCCATCATCATCAGCCCCATCCCATCCCATGCAGCTTGGTCAGCATGTTCTCCTTGTCAGTATGACTTCCAGAAGGATGTTCTTTGGTTGCCTCAGGTCTGTCACTCAGTTACAAAGGTCTTATGTGGTTGTTTTGGTCTCCCCACTTGATGAAGCATATGGATCCTTCCTCCCTGCTCCCTGCAATGTCTTTGTTCCAATCTCATCCATCACTCTCCCCACATTGCAACAGCTGCAGTATAATCTACTGTTCTCCATCCTCCCTGATCACATCCATGATGAGTATGACATGCATCTTGCCTTGTTATTGCAAGACCCAGCAGAAGACATCCCCCCTTCTCCCTCTCCTCCATCAGAGCCCTGTTCATGAAGCTTTTATTAACTTTGCTGAGAGGACAAATGGGTGGGAGACCCAATTGCCTATGCTCCCATTGCCCCACTCACCCCCAATGCCCTAGCCCTTTGACACCTGACTCATGCCATCCTTTCCTGGA